TTTTTTTTTTTCTTTTTTCTAGTTTCGTCAAACAGCAAACTCAACAGTATCCACGCAAAGCGTAACGCGTATCAGATATGATCTTCACTCAGTATCGCGTGGTAACAACTGGCACGGAACAGAAACCAACGTCCACGGCGCGCGGTTCTAATTTTCCCGCGTCAAGAACAAAGAACTTTTCGAAACTGGACGCGCTGCTGGTGCACGTGAGCGTGGCCGAAGCTGATCTGCGTGTCCGCGCGCACGATTTCCTCTTCTCCACGGCCGGATGTGATTTGCCAGAGTCACGGGGAACGCGTGATGCGGCGACGGAACGCTTGCAGCGGCAACAGCACCAAGTTCCTTCGTGCCGTAAGGAGCACTGAATGGGTTTGCCAGCGACGAAACATAATCGCGTTTGCGGCACACAGCTGTGTGTAGGTACGCCACTCTTTTCCTTTCCTTTCCCGTGCGAGCCAGTGAAGTACCGGAGGATCCCCACTACGTGCACGCGTACAGCACGAGCCTACACCCACGCGACACCCGGTATACGACCCGTGGGTAGATACAATTGGCATTGAGGAGGGAACGAGAGGCCAGATGACCGCCAACTGTCAAATTTTTTTTGCTCGTTTTCCCTCCGGAATGCGCGAGAGGGTCCTCCTTCGTACGTGATGCATCCATCACGATCGTTCTATCGACGATAATAATCACCTACGCTCGCGACCCGTTGGTGTACGCCGGTGTAATTAAGCCGTAAATGGCAAGACACGGCGTTTCCAAGATGCAACCTCACGTTTCCATGTGATCCAGATTCGAAGACGTTCGCAATGTCGAGGGATCCCACGCGGTCGTCGATCCATGCACGCATACGTCGCAACGCGTATTAATGGCAAGCAATTCCTATCATACGTGTATGTTTTAAACGGCCGTGTTCGCGATGATGTTTTCAACGTTGAATATCATTGAATATCATTGATGGTGAACAAACGGTTTCCAGGCGGCAATGAGCCAATATACAACGCTAATAACCACCCACGGTTCTCGAAGGTAGTAACAAACTCCTCGTTAGTCGCAACAGCGGATTTATGAGACGAACGGACCCGCACGACGTTACCTGGTCGCCAGTATATCTCGGATAAAGTTGTTCTCCGAGTGAGCGTCGCTATTAGCTGTCGCGTTTGTTTGAGCAACGACCTTCTGAAAGATCGACGACATGCCAACTTGTTCGTCGTTGCATGATAACCGCGTCAACTTACGAAAGGGTAAATCTTTATTCCGTTCCCCTCGTTCGCATCGTGGTTTCGTTCCACGTTATCTGCGCCTGACGTGTACTTACGTCGCCGACACGTTGCACGCAGTGTGCAGCTTCACTTCCCCGCGGAACTTTCTGCGAAGCAGAATCCCCATGTCACCATGCATCATTGTTCCCTCTTTGACAATAGTCATTAT